GAGGGCAAACAACAACAACAACAACAACACAGAGAACATCCATCACAATATTTACATTTTGCATAGTAAAACAAACTTAAAGGCAACCATACGCAAATATACTTTTAAATAACTTCTTAAAATATATTGTTTAAACTCCTAATTGGCCAGGTTATTTATTACCAGCTAAATTTATTTGACTTAGTGCGTTCACATTTCTCTGTAGAAGTAGACAATTTGTAAGAAAACTTTCTCCCTTAATCTGTCCAACCATTATCTTCACTCAGATTCCATTCAAGCCAATTTCAGAGCTATCTTAGTTATCTAGTGCTGCTATAATGGAAATACTGCAAGTGTGTGGCTTTAACACAGAGAAATGTATTTTCTTACAGTTTAGGAGGCTAGAAGTCTGAATTCAAAGCACCAGCTCCGGAAGGATTTCTTTCTCTCTGTTGGCTCTGAAGGAAGGTCGTTGCCTCTTCAGCGTCTGCTTCCTTGTTCCTTGGAGATCTCCATGTATCTTTGCATCTATCTTACCTCATCTCTCTCTCTCTCTGCTTATTTAATCTCTTTTATAAAAATCTCAGAAAAGATTGATTCAAGATACATCTAATACTAATCCTGCCTCATTAACATAACAAAGAACCCATTCTCAAATTGGATTATAATCACAGGCACAGAGGTTAGGATTTACAACACATATTTTGGGAGGACACAGTTCAATCCATAACATTCCACCCTTTGGCCCCCAAAATTCATGGCCTTGTCACATGCAGAACATATTCACCTCATCACATCATCCTCCCAAAAGTCTTATTTAAATCAACTCCAAGTCTAAAATCTCACCTTCTGACTCATCTAAATCAAATATGGGGTGAGATGTTAATTAAGCATATTCCATCTTGGGGCAAAATTCCTTACCTGAGAACCTATAAAATCTAGAATACAAGTTATCTGCTTCCAAAATACAATGGTAGAACAGGCACATGGCAGACATTTCCATTACAAATGGGAGAAACTGGAGGGAAAGAAGGGCACTAAGCAAGTAAAAAACCCATCAGAACAATTTCCATTAGCTCTCAAGGCTTGGAAACAATTCTCTGTTTTCTGAGACCGTCTAGGCAATGGCCCTGCCCTCCAGACTCTGGTTGTTGGCTGTGCCCTCTGGATTCTTGGTGGAGGCCCCTAAGCTCTGGGCTTCAGCTCTACCTTCTAGACCAACTAAAATGGAAGTTCTGTTCCCTTGGCATTGGTTGGTTTCATTCTCCTATTCCATCTGAGTGGCAGCCCCACCCCCTCAGCTTTGGGCAGTGGTGGCCCCATTACTGTGGCACCCATTAATGGCAGCCCTGTACACCAGGACTGAGTTGGCAGAGATCTGACTCTTTGAAATCTAGGTGGCTGTGGTCCCACCCTTTGAGATCCAGGATGATCTCTGGAGGAATGTCCTTATCTCTTCTGAGCTGCTCTTCCTAGTGATCTAGGCTTGTCTCCCTTCCTCCATCTCTGCTAGCTAGCTGAATTTAATCTCTTATATCTCAAGAGATTGACTGAAGACACCCCATACTAATCCTGTCTCATTAACATAACAAAGACAACCCATTCCCAAATGGGATTATAACCACAAGCATAGAGGTTAGGATTTACAACACATATTTTGGGTGGACATGATTCAGTCCATAGCAGGAAGGTTGCTAGAATGTTTATATACAGTTTCAGAATTTTGGTTATGTAAAACTGGAAAATATTTTCATGGTCTAACAATTTTTCAGTGTTATCGTGTTCATTGTTCTGCTAACCAGAAGGCTGGCGGTTCAAACCCACCAGCCACTCCTTGGAAGGAAGATGGGGCAATCTACTTCCGTAGTGATACTGCCTCGGAAACCCAAGGAGGGGTCGCTATGAGTCGGGTCCGACTCTACGGCACGTAACAAGTGTTCACTGTAAATAGTTTTACCTGAGCTTCTAGTGAAAAAAAAAATTAATGACTTACTCTTTCCCAGACCTTGTAAATGTTTGGAAATATGCATGGAGGAAAATGATGAAAAATTGATCTTGTGAGTAGTTATTGAAATCAGTAATTAAAGTGAATTTTATTTTCTGTTACTGCTCAGTTTGTGATTAACACTAGAAAGCTGTTATCTTTCCATTTAACTGTAACTGTTTCTAGTTCTTGAAGCATTTTATAATGTAACCATTGCTCTTTCTTGTCTGCCTGTCTCACATGTTTAACTATCTTCTAGAGATTGTCTGATTGTTGTCATTGTTTTAGGCTTTCAAGATGAATCTGGAAAAACTCAGCAAGCCTGAACTCCTGACACTATTCAGTATTCTTGAAGGAGAGCTTGAAGCAAGGGACCTTGTTATAGAAGCTTTAAAGGTATGTTAAAAGAAAAAAAAAAGAGAAGTCATCATGTTTTTTAAAGTGTTTCAGTGGTTATAATTTATTGAACTAGGATATTTCTATAGCCCCCACTGAAATCAGTGAGCTGGGTGTACATAGTGATACTTGCTGTAGGTAGCCATCTATGTGGTGTGATTTCTGTACTCCAAAATAGTCCCCTTAGTCTCAGCTGATGCCTGGACCTTGAATTTCATTTTTTTTTTAGCATAGAGGACCTTTGCTTGTTTTTGAATTCTGACCCCTTTGAGAAATTAATGATACCGGTTTCCTCAAAAATGTGTGTACACATATGCACAAAATTCCAGCTGTGATCTGGAAGATCAAGGACTGCATGAAGACCATAGGTGGATGCCCTGGAATCCATGGATGTTATAAAAGTAATAATTAAGAATGGTTACTTTTTTTTTTTTTTTTTAAAGTATTTGGTATCTGTTAAAATTCAAAGGAGCATAATAACTTTCCAATGTCGTGAGTCCTTTATACCTTGATATAAAGTCTGTCTTGAGAGCACATTTAGACAGGAATAGAAGAGACCATAAGGGTATGTGTGTGAGTACTAGCAAGATACCCCCAAAAGGGAAGAAGGGGGAAGAGCCAAACAAAATGTAGTCCCTACAAAGTGCAACTGGGTCTAAATACCTGAGAAGATTTTCATAGTCTAAAATTTTAGCTAGAGGTTATATTGATGTACCTTCCTAAAGTTCATCAGTGAAAGCTTTATGAAATTATTTATTGTAGTTTTCAAAATTATCCTAGCATTTATTGAATAAAAGAGACATTTGTATTAGTATTTCATGTGTGTTCTTATAAGCTGCTTTGTTGAAGATTCTTCTATAGCAACAGAGATCATTTTCTCATTGTCATTCTAGGAGGCTTAGAGAATCAGTGATTTCCTAAGTGTTCAACAATAACCACTCAATAGAGTTCATACAAAAAGCTGTATCTTTTCTTTAGCTTTTTTTTTTTTCTCATCCTACACTGATGATAGTAAGTTTTTATTTAATCATGGTTGGATAATCTTTTCTTGGATTGTTTTGAATTTATAATTGTGATAAAAATAAAATCTGTGCCTACATATTTCTGTGTGGTACTAGGTTTAGAGTGACATACTAATTTATTTCTTTTATGACTGACTGATGAAGACTAACATTTCTATCGAATTAGATATGCCCCAGAGTACTTAATCATTGAAAATTATTGTTTTTGTTTGTTTGTTTTCCCTTGTAGCTTTGTAATATGTAGTAAGTAATCTTCAGTGGTTTCATTTCTCCAGAGTATACAAGGCAGTTCCTTTCTAATATGAGGGGGATAAAACCAAAAAAACTCACTGCTGTCCAGTCAGATCCAACTCATAGCAACTCCTCCTTTGGTTTCTGAGTCAGTGTCTCTATGGAAGTAGATTGCCCAGTCTTCCTTCCAAGGAGTGGCTGGTGGGTTTGAACCACCAGCTTTCTGGTTAGCAGTCACATGCCTTAGGCGCTACACCACCAGAGCTCCCGTGTAATACTTTACAACTTGCATAATGCTCTAGCAGTTTAGGATTCATTTTTTCTTTGCTCTTTATTTATACTCCTGTAAGTACATTCCATGTACCCCTGTCCAAGAAGTAGTTCATGATTGCCAGACACTAGGCAATGAATGAATGTCTCTAGTGTGTCCCCACCAGTGCTTAACATTTTAATTGTTAACTGCCAACATATATTACAAATAAACATTCATTCCATTTGGTGACTCATTTCTGCCATATCCACAGGCCTTCCCCTTTGGTCACAATTGGTAATTTCTCTTCCCTCTCCTGTAAGTCCCTGAAAACCCTTTTCTATTTCTCATAGCTGTGACTCACTATTATCAGAATTCCTAACCTTCTTAACCTAACCAGGATGCCCTGCCATTCTTACCCCACGTTTATCTGATCAATGAAGAAAAAAGAAGAAGAAAGATTGAGGAAAGTTTGAGCTCATTCCTAATGCTTCATTCCTAATGCTATTGTTATTCCTACTTTCCTCCCCCAGTTTTCTTCTGAAGCCTCTGGCTCCCAGCTCCGTAGGAGTTATCAGCAGGGCTTAGAACTAGAAGCATTCCATGGCCTGGGCTGAAATAGGAAGAACTTTGTTCATAGTAACCCCTTTGAGAACTCAAAGTATTTTCTAGGCGCAGCGTTATTATAAATAGCAAATAGATTTTATGAAACTATAATAGTTTGGCAACATGTGTTAATCAGACTAACCCAAGGATCTACCCCTATTTGCTCTGGGACTCCAGAAAGCAGTTTCCCATAAATATCACCAGCTGGCGTATACAAAAACTTATGGGCCTACTCATAATTGGGTGGAGGTAGAGATGGCTGTCTCTACTGGGAAAATCAGACCTTATTTTCTATAGTTTTGTGTGTATGTGTGTGTGTGTGTGTATCCTCACTACTTTTCAGCCATCTTGTAACCATACAAACCTGTAGAGTTTTATGTTTTGGTAATATCCTCAGCACTAGCACAGGGCCTGGCGATAGATGCTCAATAAATATTTATTGAACAAATGAAAAGATTGTACCACTGTGGTGTATGGCTTTAAAAAATTACCAAAATACTTCAAAGCGAGTGGTATGAATTATTAAATTTTACAGCCTGTTCTTATGTGCTCTACAACATACTTCCTTCTGGTTTTAATGTTAACAGATGCTTAGGTGGTTTCTTGCACATGTTTTCCTAAAATACATTTTTTCTTCATGAATCCAATTATAGGCAGCTTCTGACAAGTTGAAAGAGCAGCTTGAGAAGCAAGAGCTATAATTAAAGGAGCATTTTGATATAAGATACCATTGAGAATCAGGCACAAGTGTTATATTTAGTCTGTGCATGCCGTCTGTAGATGATAAAGTTATCTTCTGAGGGTTAAACTGTATGCAGTTGAGGTGAAATGAATAGCTTCACCAGACGTGGGACATCTTTAAACAATCTATTGTTAAATAAAGTAAGTGGCAAGTGGGATCAAAATTGTTTCAATTTATTTAGAAAAGCAACTGCCCTACCAGATTCTTTAAGTTGCAATGAAATCTCTTTTTATATTTGGAGTAGTTTTTTGTTTGCTTGTTTTATATGTGTGTGTGTGTGTGTGTTGTGTGTGTGTTGTGTTTCAGTAATTGAAGATTTCTATAGCTCTTGCTTAAAAACAAACATCTGTTGGACTTTCTAGACTAATAGGCAGTTTACTAATTTTCTTCCTTTAGTATTATTTTTTCTTAATGTGTGCTTTAGGGGTGGTTTGAAAAGGTTTTGGGTTTTGTCCTGAATGGCTATGGTTGACGTTTTCCTTTTTGTTTCAGTAAAGTTTATCTTTTTTTCCCTCCTTATCTTCAAAATATATTTTTTCTGGACATTTCTTACAAAGCCATATGGTTCATTGTTGCTTCTAAATGAAAGTGGGTCACCCTGGAAGAATTTGATTTATTTAGGGATATATTACAAAGTTACTATAGTTTGTAAGTAGATCCTACTTATAGAGCTGTAATTGTAAAGTAGCATCATTCATTTTCCAAAATTTCTGCAAAGTGCTGTATTGCACTTATACCCTTCTAGAACCCCCATAGTTATGTTCTCTTTCTCCCCAAAATAAAAATGTCTTCACTCTTCTGGTACAGCCAAAACATGTTTGGCATAGAACCAAGGAAGCCAGTAGAAAATAATGTAATATTCATGCTTTCTTATATTTGAAGTCTAATTGCTACAGAGGCCATTTATACTGTATTTGGTCCTAATTGAACTTTATATGAAGGGATTTTCTGTTTTAGAAAGGATTGCATCAGAGAATAACATTCTTTATGAAAATCTTTCCCTTTGACTACTTTATTTTCACGACTGAGAACACTATAGGAATCTCCTTCACAATGGAAGCAAATTGTATTACCTGTGAACTGCGTAAAGTGGGGCAGTGAGGAGAGAGGAAGCATACAGTACAGTTCAGCAAGAGAGACTCAGGTCATTAATTCCACACAAATCTAGGAAATGGCTGCCCAGCATGATCTGTGACTGCTGTAGAGCAGGATGAGGGAACCTTAATCAACAGCATTTTAAAAATCCAAAAAGGAAAGTAGATTTGACTACTAATCTATTACTCTAAATTAAAAAAAAAAAAAAAAACAAGCTCACTGCCTCAAGTCGTTTCCTACTCATAGCAACCCCTGTTGGGTTTCCGAGGCTATAAATCTTTATGGAAGTAGATCGCCTAGTCTTCCTTCCACGGAAAAGCTGGTGGGTTTGAACTGCTGACCTTCTGGTTAGCAGTCAAGTGCCTTATCGACTATACCACCAGAGCTCCTCATTAATCTAAATTAGATTAAATGATTTATTTTTGAAGCTTCCAAATTGAGTGTATTAGATATGCATGTCTTAGATGTGATGCACAGCCACAGTTAGCTATGCCTAATTAGGCTCTACCCTGCATTTATTAGTATCATTTTAAAGCATTCTTTAAATTACTTATATAATGATAAATGGTAAACCATTACAATTTTTATTTAGAATTAGCTTAAGTGATCTTGAATTCTTTTCCAGTGATGCCTCAATCATAAAACAGGTATAACTCTTTTAAAGCTTAGGATGGAACTCTGTTATTTTTGGCCAAAAGCCATTGTAAAACTCCCCAAACAAGCTTTACAGGCAAAAATGTTGGAGACAGGGCAAAGTTTGAAATATATTTGGAATATATGAGACTGTGTAATATGTCACTGTATTAGTTTAACTATTCTGAGTGTTTGAAGCAGTCGGGAGTATTTAAAAAAAAAAACTTGTGGTTGCAGAATATATTGACAGGGAACTTCCAGAAATTCAAGCCAGATTCAGAAGATATGGAACAAGGGATATCATTGCTGATCTCAGATTAATCTTAGCTGAAAGCAGAGAATAGCAGAAAAATGTTTACCTGTGTTTTATTGACTATGCAAAGACATTTTAACTTGTGAATCATAACAAATTATAGATAAA